AAAATTTAATAAAGATATAGTGGAATATCGAAAAAAATAAAATTTATGATTTTCACCACGAATCCATCTTTCAATATTGCCTCGGTTTGGCCAGCGTGTTTGATTCAAGTCATTTGATACGCCGGAACAATAAAATTTAATAAAGATATAGTGGAATAGTGAAAAAAATAAAATTCATGAATTTCACCTTGAATCCATCTTTCAATAATGCCTCGGTTTGGCCAGCGTGTTTGATTCAAGTCATTTGATACGCCGGTACAATAAAATTTAATAAAGATATAGTGGAATAGTGAAAAAAATAAAATTCATGAATTTCACCTTGAATCCATCTTTCAATAATGCCTCGGTTTGGCCAGCGTGTTTGATTCAAGTCATTTGATACGCCCGAACAATAAAATTTAATAAAGATAATGTGGAATAGTGAAAAAAATAAAATTCATGAATTTCACCTTGAATCCATCTTTCAATAATGCCTCGGTTTGGCCAGCGTGTTTGATTCAAGTCATTTGATACGCCGGAACAATAAAATTTAATAAAGATATAGTGGAATAGTGAAAAAAATAAAATTCATGAATTTCACCTAGAATCCATCTTTCAATAATGCCTCGGTTTGGCCAGCGTGTTTGATTCAAGTCATTTGATACGCCGGAACAATAAAATTTAATAAAGATATAGTGGAATAGTGAAAAAAATAAAATTCATGAATTTCACCTAGAATCCATCTTTCAATAATGCCTCGGTTTGGCCAGCGTGTTTGATTCAAGTCATTTGATACGCCGGAACAATAAAATTTAATAAAGATATAGTGGAATAGTGAAAAAAATAAAATTCATGAATTTCACCTTGAATCCATCTTTCAATAATGCCTCGGTTTGGCCAGCGTGATTGATTGAAGTCATTTGATACGCCCGAACAATAAAATTTAATAAAGATAATGTGGAATAGTGAAAAAAATAAAATTCATGAATTTCACCTTGAATCCATCTTTCAATAATGCCTCGGTTTGGCCAGCGTGATTGATTCAAGTCATTTGATGCGCCGGAACAATAAAATTTAATAAAGACATAGTGGAATAGTGAAAAAAATAAAATTCATGAATTTCACCTTGAATCCATCTTTCAATAATGCCTCGGTTTGGCCAGCGTGTTTGATTCAAGTCATTTGATACGCCGGAACAATAAAATTTAATAAAGATACAGTGGAATAGTGAAAAAAATAAAATTCATGAATTTCACCTTGAATCCATCTTTCAATAATGCCTCGGTTTGGCCAGCGTGTTTGATTCAAGTCATTTGATACGCCGGAACAATAAAATTTAATAAAGATATAGTGGAATAGTGAAAAAAATAAAATTCATGATTTTCACCATAAATCCATCTTTCAATAATGCCTCGGTTTGGCCAGCGTGTTTGATTCAAGTCATTTGATACGCCGGAACAATAAAATTTAATAAAGATATAGTGGAATAGTGAAAAAAATAAAATTCATGAATTTCACCTTGAATCCATCTTTCAATAATGCCTCGGTTTGGCCAGCGTGATTGATTGAAGTCATTTGATACGCCCGAACAATAAAATTTAATAAAGATAATGTGGAATAGTGAAAAAAATAAAATTCATGAATTTCACCTTGAATCCATCTTTCAATAATGCCTCGGTTTGGCCAGCGTGATTGATTCAAGTCATTTGATACGCCCGTACAATAAAATTTAATAAAGATAATGTGGAATAGTGAAAAAAATAAAATTCATGAATTTCACCTTGAATCCATCTTTCAATAATGCCTCGGTTTGGCCAGCGTGATTGATTCAAGTCATTTGATGCGCCGGAACAATAAAATTTAATAAAGATATAGTGGAATAGTGAACAAAATAAAATTCATGAATTTCACCTTGAATCCATCTTTCAATAATGCCTCGGTTTGGCAAGCGTGATTGATTCAAGTCATTTGATACGCCGGAACAATAAAATTTAATAAAGATATAGTGGAATAGTGAAAAAAATAAAATTCATGAATTTCACCTTGAATCCATCTTTCAATAATGCCTCGGTTTGGCCAGCGTGTTTGATTCAAGTCATTTGATACGCCGGAACAATAAAATTTAATAAAGATATAGTGGAATAGTGAAAAAAATAAAATTCATGATTTTCACCATAAATCCATCTTTCAATAATGCCTCGGTTTGGCCAGCGTGTTTGATTCAAGTCATTTGATACGCCCGAACAATAAAATTTAATAAAGATATAGTGGAATAGTGAAAAAAATAAAATTCATGAATTTCACCTTGAATCCATCTTTCAATAATGCCTCGGTTTGGCCAGCGTGTTTGATTCAAGTCATTTGATGCGCCGGAACAATAAAATTTAATAAAGATATAGTGGAATAGTGAAAAAAATAAAATTCATGATTTTCACCATAAATCCATCTTTCAATAATGCCTCGGTTTGGCCAGCGCGTTTGATTCAAGTCATTTAATTCGCCTGAACAATAAAATTTAATAAAGAAATAGTGGAATAATGAAAATAATGAAATTCATTGTCCTCGCCCTCCGCACGGCCTTCCCCACGTCCTCGACCTCGCTGCGCCTCCACCCCTCGCTCGCGGCTTCTGCAAAAATTAATCTTTTGCCCACCCCCGAGTTGCCGGTTAGTGGGGCGCCCACAACTCCGGCCGCGTGCAACACCTTTCAATTAATTTGCCGTGCGTGTCGCGCCTCCTATAATCATGCGTCGCGCGTACTATAAGCATGCGTCGTGCCTCTTATGATGGTGAAAAGCGCCCTCCGGAGGTCGTCTTGCCCCATTCTGAACGCATCCCAAGGATCCCTATTCTTCCTAGCAGTCCCCTACATTAAGATTGTAGGAAAATATTTGCGTCGCGCGTGCTTTACATGTTGCCGAGGTATTGATGGAATAATCGGTTTTCTTAACAATTTTACTGCCACCAGTATTGAACGCGCGACGTGATATTTTTTGATTGGTTTGATAATTATTTGAATAATATAATTATGCATAAGTTTATTTAATTATAATAATGTAACAGTTTTGTCTAATTCACATAATGACCTTGCTGCAAATTATCAATAACAACCACAATTTTAGCACTCGCAGGCAGATAAATTTTCCTAGCTCCTGCGCTGAATGTTGCAAATGGAAACGGGTTTCCCCCTGTTGCTTTCAACAGTCCCGCACCGAATAACCCCTTATCACATGCTATGCACGGTGGTGAAAAGGCTGCTCCGCGGTATCTCTCTCGCTGTAAAATGCACGTGCGGCCAAATCATGCGCAATGAAGTTGGAAATGTACGCGCGAGAGCACCACTGGCGCCGCTTTTTATTTGTAGGTCAGCCCGTTTTCTCTCTGCAGCCCGCCAGGCTGGACGAGCGCAATATTAACAATGCAAATATTGAAAGTCGCCGCGGCGAATTAGAGCGGCAGCCAGATAAGGCTCTCTCTCTCTCTCACACACACACAAAGCCAACCAACTCACTCGCCTGAAATAATTAATTTTGCTTTCCCTCAACTTCCCCTCCCCCTCAATCTCTCTCTTGCCATTTTCCATTTTGGTTTGCCATTCGTCGGTCAATATGCTTAGTCTAAAAAATCAATTCCAAAGATAAGTTTGCACAATCGATTTTATTCGCACTAATCTGCTTCGCTTGCGTGCGTGCTTCAGTGCTTCAAAAAATTAAATTTTGTTCAAATATTGGCATGAGAAAAATGCATTGGAATTTTACAGAAGAGTAATTTTGTTAGTGTCAAGTCTTTTTTATCCTTTTTTTTTAAAGGATAAAAGTTTTATTTCAATGAATATCAATCAAAAGTATTTTGTTTTTCCAAATTTTGACAAAAGCAAGAAACAAAAACTTATAATCAGCTAAGTCCAACACTCAAATAAGTGACACAACTGCAAACTGCAGTAAATATTAGGTTTAAAACCATATAATTATTACACATATTAAAAGTAATAACTGAACTATCTAAAGCGTTAAAATGAAGAAGAGCTGGAAATAATTTCATCAAAAATTTCAATGAGTTGCTATTTTTAAAAATTTATAAGCTCGTGTATTATAAATATTTTTGTTGACCCAGGATAATTATAATAGTAGGTAAGGTTTCTGGCTTCAAAATTTAATTAGACTTTAATTTTAAAAGCTCACGTCTAACGAAATATCCCACTGACCCAGGTTGTAAGATAGGCAGCAAGGACTACTGCTTAAAGTTTTTAATTAGCATACACGGGCTAAGGAGGTTTGCTGAATTTTAGTTCAAATTACACTCCGGCGACCAAAAATACAGTGATTAGAGCGGGGTTGAAACGAGCTTGTGACTCTATATTGCGAATATTTGAAAACAGTTTTCTCAGTAGATATAGAGCCTATCACAAAAATGAATTAAATGAGGTTGCACTAAAAAAATAAAATTGAATCAGCGCAAAAGCTGCATTAATTTGTTAATATTTTGTTTTCCATTGAATATTATGTAAGTAAACAGATTGATTATAAGACTTTTAAAAATGTTGGGACACAATTCGTGATATGCAGGCAAGTTACTTTTGAACTAATGAATTAAGAATTAATGACGTCTCTTGCTCCGAGAAAACTTTCAGCCTGGAAACGTTTATGAATATTTAATCAACATGAACGACCATAATGGTATAATAATTTATAATGTGTGCATGAGCCAGTGCTGAAAACTCTCCCTTGTGTAAAATTTAATTTCCGATCGCTCTGCCACATATTTGAATATTGCGAACAACCACCGAGTCGGAAGCTGCGAGTAACAACAATATTAGATTGAATTTCCGATTCACCGAGTTAAAAAATTGGACGCGCTCGGTTCTGCCGCGTGACAAACGAAATAACTTGTCGCTCACTCGGCTGCATATTTAATTGGGTGCTCAACATTTCGCACACGTGCAAACTCATTTGGCATGCAGCGAGAGAGCGACGTTGAATGTAACATTGGATCATAATGTATGTATGTGTGTATTTTTGCAGGACGCGCGAAAAATGGGTTGGCCGAAGAGCGGTGGCGGCAGTGGAGGGCGGCAACGACGGCGGCAGCTTTTTAATCACGACGGCATGTAGCGAAAGAAACATGGAGCTGGCTCAAAAAATCCTCAACGGCCAACACAAAGAGGCGCCGCCGTGGCCCGTGCCCTTAATTTTGAAAGCGTTTGTCGCGTCCACCGGAGCAGGTAGCAAAATTTTATTTAAAAGTTGCTGCAGCAGGTCGATGCCACAGCTTCTCTTGATTACTTTTTTCCCACTTAATTATACGACGCCAAAAACCCCAATTTTGCGGCACGCTGTTTTATGCAAATGACGAATTTGCGGCCACCCTTCCACCAGCCCCATTAAACTTTTCACACTATTATTTCAGCATGCTTTTGTTTTGATTTTTTAAATTAAAAAAATTATGTGAATTATATTCTAGTTTCATTCTAAAAGACTTTTTGAAAGAGAATATATGAATTTAATCGATAAAAAATTTCAAAAGAATTAATCTTTTTAAACAAAATGGGTAATTTTTTTAAAGAAAATTTGTTATTTGAATTTTTTTTTGTATTTAATCAAAACTTCATCACCTACATTGCAGTGAAATTAATTAAGCGCAATAATTTGACTAATTATAGTTGAAATCCTGCGTCTTTCATAAGATTTTGCAACTTTTGATAAAAATTTAAATATATTTATTTAATAAAATAATTTTTTTTATTTTTAATCTAGTCTTCATTACAAATGTGAATACTAAAGATTTTATCGGAGTAATAAATTTATTCATTTAGTTTTTGTTTGTAATGCAAACTATTTATTATTTTTTCACATCATTATTATTATTTGCAATAATTTAAATTTTGAAAGCTATGCCAATTAATCTACAGCAAATCATCTCAATTTTAAAAACATAAATCAATAATTGTCGCTTAATCTAATCAAATTAAAAATGTTCAGACTTCGAGGAGGAGCGGCGCTCCCTGCTGGAACAGGTGGGGCCCGAAGTGCAGAGCGAGTTTGACTCGGTGGGGCTGGAGGTGCAGCTGGTGGACACCTACTACTGCAACTCGGAGGCGGCCCCCGACCCATGGTCCTGCGACCAGTTCCTCGACGAGATCTCAAGATGCAGCCGAGTTTCGCGCGGCTGCTTCTTCCTGGTGAGTTCTAAACGCGATTAGAGGATTTAATTAATTGAGGGGGCGACGCAGGTGCTGGTGGGGGAGACGCTGGGTGAGCAGCACGTGCCGACGAGACTCGCGCCTGATGAGCTGCGGGCGATTCGCGCCGCGTGCGATGACGACGAAGGCCTCCTCGCCGCCTCCTACGTCGAGGAGCAGCCGACGGGCGGCCACTTTGTTTTGCAACAACCGCCCCGCAGGTGGGTAGATATGCACGTTATGCAAATTGATTTTGTGTTCACCCCTCAAGGGGAGACGGAGGAACAACAATGACAGGATTTTGTTCCTCATAAAGCCAATTTTGAGTAAAACTGTGAATATAGGACTCACATTTTAATATATTTTTGATATTTTGATTTTGTTTCAACTTTATTTCCTTTTGGTTTGTTTTGTTTAAAAACTATTTTGTTTGTTTTAATTTCTTTTAAATTACTTTATCTACTTTCATCTTTTTTTTACTTTTTTATCTTTGCCAATCTTTACTTCACTTAACTTAAATATTTTATTGCATTTTGTAATATTCCATGAAATTTGCCTTTATTTAACTTAAAATTAATATTATGGCATTTTTTAATTAGTTTTTAATTTATTTCAATTTTTTTTCATTTTCTATTAAAATATTATTTATTTTAATATTAAATTTTCTTTCGTTTGGTACATTTTGTTTAGATTTATTTTGGTTTATATTTTTTTAATCTAGATTTCCTAATTCTCCAGGAATACCTAAATAATCTAGAATACAACTGAAAAACGCATTTTTCTGTTTAGAGTGTTTGGACACACGCATCAAATTTTTGTAATTTATGGACTTTTTTTACCATCTCCCACTAAAAATATAAGTTGTTGTAGTTGTATTTTAGCGTTTTTAGTTTTTATAAGCCATAAAATCCAACTTTTGAAAATAACAATGAAAACTTTAACAAACCTTTAGTATTTTATATTTTGAACATTTTTGTGTGATCATTTTGAGTAATTTTTGTGAGCCTAGATGTAACTAACCGCGACACGTTTGTTCTTGCCGGCAGACAAGAGGTGCTGGAGTGGATAGAACGAGATTTGCCAAAGCTGAGGCAATTATTTAAAAAAGCGGCGCAGCGGCTGGCCGGGAACAAGGGTCCTGGGAGATTGCCAGACCTGATAACGCGAAGCGTCGTCGAAGCGCAGCTGCAGCACGCCTTGGGTAAGTCAACAAAAATAGCCTTGGGAAATTTGCGCCTGTGAGAGGAAAGAGAACACGGGAGAGGGTTGTTTGCCTAATTTATTAAAAGCTGTCAGATCAGCGCGAATTGGGCGATCGAACACCCTCCTCCGGGTGCTGCTTTTTTGCAAGCAGCAGCCAACCGAGGATTCTGCACGCGCCGCCGTGTTTGCCTTTATTGGTCTGTTCTGGTGTTTCGGGGCTTCGAGGCTCATTTCCAACGCAAGGAAGATGATCTGAATTATTATTACTGCACGTTTATTTTATTTATTATGATTTATCACAATTATAACCGTCTTCAATCACTTGGTCATAAGGAATAGCAGAATATGAATTAAATGGATAATTTAATTTGTTAACAGGAGGTTAAAATTAAAAAAAAATAATAATCATAAAATTATTTAATTTATTATTATTATATTGTTGTTGTTTACTTGTCCACATTGTTACAAATACATTATTTACATTCAATTGTTGAATTAACTTTGTTAAAAAAAGGAATTTTTTGACAAAATGTCACCACCACTATCCGCCACTATCAAGAATTTTTCTAAAACTTCCAAAATCAATATTAAGATTAAGTAAATTTAAAAACTAACTATATGCACGCTAAATTTTTTCATAAGTTATAATCTTGATAAGCTATTAATTTTACAAAAAAATTTATTTACAGTGATCATAATTTTTTATTTAAGAAATAAATTACAAGACTATGTAATAAATTTATTAATTTTTTTTTGTCAAGAAGAAATGATTATATTAATTTAAAATTAATGCCAGTAACTTATAACTTTTTCATCACTAGAGAAACTTTTAATAGGAAAAGTTCCATCTCGATATATATTTATCGCAAGAGGCGAAATCAATTTTAGGCTTCACTTATCGTCAATGAGACTTGTCTGCGTTCCTCTCTTCCTCTCCAAATCCAATTTTCGCTCATTTTTTTTCCAGCGGAGTCGCAGAATGGTGCAAACATCATCGCCGTATTGAGAAAGTGGGACAATCTGAGAGAAAGCAGTTCTGAGCGCTGCGAACTATTCAAGCACTTCAATACTGCCACTTGTGATCGATTAAATGTTATTCGGAAATTTATAGAAGCCAATTTGCCGGCTGAAAATGTCTTCAAAATAAGGTGAGTTTCTTCTCGCCGGCAAATAATCACCTCGATAAAAAAGTGCGTGGTAATCGGAATGGAAAATTTCGCAAGAGCAGGGAGCCGATTTGAATGCCAATGGCAATAAGCGAGAAAAACCGACGGGAGCTTTTATTCGGCCAATTTTGTGAATAGATTTTCCGGCGGATAATGAGGGCTATTCACCTCTTCTATTCAATTCGATCAATTCCACTCCGACCTGTTCAGCATCGCTGCTTGAATTTCCTTTCTGCTCCTAATCAGCTAAACCACCTGCCGATCAAATCAAAATTTTTATATTATTAAAATTCTTTTAATTATTGAAAGATGACAAAAAATGAACTTTCTCTATAATCCATGATCAGAAATACATTGTTTTCAATAAAATATCTCAGAACAAAATTAAATTATAATTTATTTGTTTTTAAAATTAAAAACCAAATGTATATTTTCTACTACAAATTCGTCTTCTTTTCTGTTCAAATTTTAAATTTCTCCATTTCCTTTGCTTTGCTGATATTTTTGTAAGCCAAATCTTGGAGTGAAAAACATAGCACGCAAAATTCAGTTTGTTGCTTAAGCTTTGCGAATGACCGTCGTAAAACGCGATGCTAAGAGTGGGTTTAAAATTATTATTATGCCGGGCAAACATGGTGTAAAACACGACGGACACGCGTGCAAACGTAGCGGCATGCATGAAAGCCTGCACATTCCGCCCTCTGGCTTTTATTGTGCGCACTCAACCAGTTGCATACGCAGCCGGGACAAACAAACTAACCAACAAACTAACGCGATAAGCAGCCATACAACGTACGGGGCTCTGAAAATGTGTCAAGCAGCAGCCCCATTGTTTCGGCCTTGTTGTGCGTGGTATTCCATTACCGAGCCACTTCACTCAACAGCGCCTGACGCTGCCAAAGTATGCAACCGGTCGATCGGCGGCGCAAGGCGTATTGCCTAACTCAGCAAGTTGTGTTCGCAGTGCTCCTTGGTGTTCGCGCGGTGCCGATCCGGACGACGAGGCGTTCGAGAAGTATCTCAACCTGTTTCGAGACACCCTCACTGCCCGGCTTCAAGAGCTCGTCTCCGGCGACCTCGACAATCAACCAGACCCTCTCAATGGACGCTCCAAGGCCACACAGGTAGACAATGATAATTGCTTTGTTCTTTTCTGACAATGATATTGGTTTCAGAATAATTAACTTACAAAAAATAGCTTATCACTGCACAATTATTAAACTGAATCAAATAAACTGCAATGAAAATGACATCAATTTTTTTCAAAATAATTTTGCTCTGTAGATATGGGCAGATGACTTGTATGTATTTTAATGAGTTGTTTTTAACTAAGTTTCATACGCTGAATCCAATAAAATTAGTCTCAATATCGGAAAAATTCAACCGTTTTATAACTAAAAAATTAAAAAAAAAAGTTTTTTTAATTTTTTTTCTAATAGTGGAGGGTTGTTTCCGGTTGTATCTATTTTTTATTTTAATTTCAGGCGCTTTGGATTGTTTGTTCGTATTTTTCTGTTTATTTTGGTTACATTTTAAAATTATATTTCCCTGCATTCATTAGAATTATTTTTTTTTATTTCCATAATAAGTTAAATAAAATTGCTTTTTCTTTGACAGTTAATTTATTATTGCTTAAACTTTAAAATGTGAAAATAAGTTTTTCGTTTTTGTAAATTTGTGCTAATTTTTAAATGATATCGTTTTAATTCATTTGTTGAAAAAAATTTATTAAAAAAAAGGTAATTGTTTTTCACGCAAATTTTACCAAATTTATTTCTTCTAAAAATAAAATGAACATAATTTTTCTACCGGAAACACTTATTTTTGTCTTTTTTTACTGTGTCCTATTTGACTTTGGCCAAGTGTAATAAGAAAGTGTGAAATTGTTGTGCCATCAGGACGTGCTGCACGAAGCGTCGTGCCACTTGTCCATCTGGCGGCAACACCTGGCGCAGATCGAGCACGCGACGGAACTGCGGCAATCGCCCCTTCTGGCGCAGATCAAGGGCCACTTGGAGGCCGCGGTGCGCGAGCGGCACGGGCCGTTGCTGGTGCACGGCTCGCTGGGCAGCGGCAAGAGCTGCGTTCTCAGTTCCGTGACTCAAGAGGCCTCCAAGTGGCTGCACGGCCGCCCCTTGACGCGAATTGTCCGTTTCTCAGGCGCCACCCCGCGCTCGGCCTACGGACTCGAGCTCCTGCGCAACGTTTGCCAGCACTTGAGTCTCATTTTGGGTGAGTTACAGCCACTTTTTGGCATTTTACAGCGTGAAGTGGTAGCCAGTTGCTGAAATAAAGAAGGACAATTAACAAACAGCACCAAACAACTCCAACAAGCAGCGTTAACATAAAAATTTATTGAATTTTAAATTTAATTAAAAATATGTCTAACAAGAGTTAAAAAAAACTTTCCGTTCCTTACTTAAAGTAGTAAAAAATTAAAACAAATTTTTTTAATGGATGTTAATCCGGTTCTTTTAATGTATTTATTTTTTCTAGATTAAAATAGCACAACATCTTATAGCAATCAATGCAGCAGCAATCAATTTAAATTGAAAAAACAACTGAAAAAAAATGAGAAGAATTACTTCAATTTATTACTATTCATTCTTAAATAGAATATGTTTTAACTTTTATTTAAATAATTTTTTTCAATTGAAATTTTATTCTAAGTAAATAGACATTTAATTCATGCTGAAATGTATGATATGCAGGTGTTGACACAATTCCAAAGGACTGCAGTTTTGACCCTCTGTATGTAAACAACTGGTTCGGCACCCTTGTCAGACGGGCTGGCGAGGCATGGCAGGACGGCGGGTCAACGGTGCTTTTTGTGATCGATGACCTGCACCGCCTGCAACCCCTCGATTCGGACATCGTGGCGCCGCTTTCGTGGCTGCCGGTGTCGCTGCCACCGGGAATAATCGTTTTGGCTGCCACTTCGACACACCCGGAGCACCTCAAGTTCACGCCTCTGCAGAAGGAGCGACTTCGGGCCGCCGACTGCTACCTCAGCCTCGCCAACGACAAGGCACCACCACCACTAGCAGTTGCTCTTAATGGTGCGTAATCAATTTGATATTTAATACAGTTTTTGCAAAATAATAGTTTACAAAGGGCTCGTTTTTTTTATAATTTTTCTCAAAATTTGGAAAATTTTTTGCTTATTTGAAAAATTAAACATCTTAAATAGATGTTTCATAATTTTATTTACTTCATATTATTTCGGTTTAAAATTATTTAGTTGCAAATTGAATTAATTAGTATTATGCCAACTTTTGTTGTAAATTTATTGATTGATGTTATCCATATCAATTTTCGCAAATACATTTTTATAGCATGAGGAGAATGTGTGTTTATTTGGTTTTTATTGCTCACTTTTTCTCGGTTGCAAACAGAAAGAGAGCAGAGCAGTGGTTATTGCCGTCATATATCAAACAGCGACGCTTCTCGCAGTCGCAGTAACGAGATACATTGGCAATATGTCTTCCTTTGCGCACAGAAAGGCGAAATTTTAATCATATTAACTGCGACGAGGCACTGCTGTGTATCATCCTAAAGAATATCACCAGCGCGCAAAACTCTCTTTCTCTCGCAACCAAGATTTACGACCTGCTTTTTTTTCACGCAGCTCGTCTTTTTGCACCCAACATTACGGCTACATAATATAATAAATAAATAAAATCGCAATTTTCTCTGGTCTTGCTGCTTATGCAGGCGGCGAGCACATAGAAAAGGCCGTGTGCCAAGTGTTCGATGATGCTGAGAGCGTCCTTGGTCGCGCAATCATCGAGCGATTTTCTTCGCTGCTCGCCTGTGCCGAATTCGGGTTAACTGAGATGGAGCTATTGGAATTGATGCTGCCTGCCAGTCACGCGAACGGAACGCCGGCTCTGATGGAGGAGGGCCACTGCAATTTCGCCAGCCTCTGCGCCCTCAGATCAATTCTTGGTATGTCTTGCTGCTCCCTGCCCAGAAAACCAGACGCAAAACGCTTCCGAACATTTAGATCATAATACATTTCAAACCCTCACCAAAGCAAATACTCACAGCAGAATAAATAAAAAGATGAAAATGCTCTTTCATATGAAATTCCTGGAAAATTTTAAATTTTATGTTGAAACAATAATTATTTTAGGTTAAGTTAAAAAAAAAAATAAGGGTTTTCCAATAAAATCTTTTTGTATTTATTTATTTATTCTCCGTTCAAATACAGTGAAATACACAACATCTTACATCAAGTCAATACACAAAAATTAAAAGCCACTTTTTTACAAATTTTTTATTTTATTCTTATTAATAATTATATTTATTTTTATCACAAATTTGTTATTCTTATTTATTTTCTTACTTTAAATAACTGTCACAAAATTATCATAAAATACAATTTTGATAACTATAGTTATCAACATTGAATTATTAAATTTTTTATTATTTTGTTTAGACAAACATTTGCTCTACTAGTTTCTTTAAAATTGAAAAAGAAAATGCCTTAATTTTGTAACTTTAATAAATTGTAATATGCAATAATTAATTTCACTTTAAACTACCAGAAAGATCTTATTAAAAATTTTATATAACTTATATAGCTGACATTGTATCAGTAATTTATTTTATTGCTCTTAATTACTTTCGTAATCTTCTTCATCTTTTTTTTTTTTTTTTTTTTTTTTTACAAAAAAAATTTGAAACACCCCGCATTAAAAAAGAGCCTCAACGTACTCTTTCTCATAAATGAATAATCTGCACCCACAGCTTATCTCCAAATGGGGAAAAAAACTTTTTTAACTCACAATATACGCTTTGTCGGGCAGAGAGCTGCTGAAGCGGCAAAAAATCGACTCCTGCACAAAGCGAAGTTGTTAAGATTTGGAGAGCGCAGCTGGATTACTTGGTGCCGCTCAGCCAAAAAGCTTTTAGCCCGAGCGTTTTTATTAAAAAGCGAAACATTCTAGGGCCGCTGCTGCGCGAAATCTATTTGAGCGGCAAACTGCTGCTCCGCTGGCGGCACGTCTCCATGGCAGAAGTGGCGCGCTCCAGATACATATCATCCACCGAAAAGGCCAAAAGCACCCACATGGAGTTGGCCAATCTGTTCTTCAGCGAGTTTCAGCAGGAGGAGAGCCAAAAGTCGCAATCCGAGGGAGGCGACAAGGCGGCCCCGGAAACCATGCTCGGCGAGGACGTCACCTACAGCGTCAGACACGTCGAAGAGGCCTGGCTGCACCTCCTCAAAGCAGGTGCGAAATCATGCCGAAATAAAGAAAACTATTTCTAGTCGCAAAATAATTTTACCAAATCATATTCAAACGAAAATTAAAACTCAAATTTTCGAAAAAGAAATTAATTGTATATTTACTTTGTAAAAGCCTTAAATTCGAAATTTGATTTCTATTTTATATTCGCTAACAGGTGACCCGGAGCGGCTGAAGAAGCTGACTGTGTGCAACTTTGACTTTCTGCTGGCGGCCGTTCAAACGGTGTCTGTCAGCTTTTTGAGGTGCGTGCTGGAGCATGTGAGGTGCTATCTGCTGGACTCGCACCTTGAGCTCGTCTACTATACCATCCGAAAATCTTGTGATACTATTACCAGAGATCCGCTCCAACTGGCTGCACAAATCATAAGCTGGCTTGCAAACGGTAAGTTTACATTTCTTGTTAAAACGTTTTCTTCTAAAATAAATAAATAAAATAAAGTATATGTATGTTTTTCACGTTACATTTTTCCGTTTTGCACTGATTAATTAATAATATAATAATTTTAAATTGCCCTAAAATTGAACATTTTTGTTATTAAGGACATTTATTGCTAAATTTAAAAACAAATGTCAGAGATAAAATGAATAATAAGGCCCAACAGGCGCAAGTTTGTTTTTCACTTAATATGCATTGTGCAAATAATAAATTTAATAATTTTTATAAATAAAATTATAAAATTTCATTTTAATTTTTTAATTTTATTTATTTGCAAGACAATGTTTTTTTTAAATTATTATTAATCTGTAATAAATTAATTCCAATGAAGTCGAATACACAATTCATCAAGTCAAGGGTAAAAATGAATAACTAGGCACAACAGGTGCAAACCTCTTGACAAGAGGCCCCACCTCGCTTTCACCAAAAATTATTCCGTTTTGTAAAACAGCCCGCGGGCATATTATCGAGACCAAAACTCGCGGTACATGCAAGCCATTTTCCAATAAATCACGCTTGTACGAAAGTAATTAGCGGGGGTTTGAATTAATTAACGAACCGCGCGTGATCAGGCGTTGTTAACCACCGCGAACAAAGCCCTCCTCATCTCTCAATTGTCAGCAGATTCTCTGCTCTTTCTCTCTGCATTCATTAAAATTTCTCTCTGCTTTAATTAACTGCAATTTACGAGATTGAACCCCCAGCGAAACTAGGCCGGTGTCAATTAGTGCATGCATAATTAACGAATGTGTGACCGGAATTCGGCAGAGCGGCACGGCACGCTGATAAAATCGCTGGTGACCTCGGCGATGGCCTGGTGCGACGGATACAGCGAGCCGCTGCTGGTGCCCCTGACCGGCTGGCTGCAGGCGCCGCTGCCCTCGCAAATTAAAAGTAAGCCCCCTGTTAAAAATTTGCGGTCCCACGACACACGTTCTGCCCGCAGGCGTCACCGTGCCCGCCGGCGTCAAACTGGCGCAGCCCTCGGCCACAGGACAACACGTGGTTTTGGTCGGGCCTGGCTCGAGCGAGGCCCAGCTGTGGCACGTCATGTCCGGAACGATGGTCTACTCGTTCGCCGGCCACACCGGGCCCATCCACTGCGTCACCGTCACGGCCCAGGAGCTGCTAACGGGCGGCGAGGACCTTTCCGTCATCATCTGGGACTTAAAAACGAAAATGCAGAGACTCAAAATGACGTAAGTATGATAATTTAATTTTTTATTCACTCACTCATTTAAATTGAAAATAATTATTATTTATTGTTGTTTATTTGTCCAAATTGTTACATCACATTGATTACATACAAATTGTTGAAAACCATTTATGTGGAAAAAAAAGAAATTGTTGGACAAAACGGAAAAGATTTTTTGTTACAAAACTTTTAAAAACTTATTAAAAATAAATAATTTTAATCAACAGGGGTCTAATTCTGTAAGATAGAATCGTTCCATTTCCATTTCTATTTCATTTTCCATTTGCTTACCCATTCTATTTCGTCGCCTTTTTTGATAACGACTTCTATTTCGCTGCCATTCCATTTCCATTTCTATTTCGTTGTCAATTTTTTTAGTTGTGCCATTTATTTATTTATTATTTAATTTAATTATTGCCTATGCTTACAGTGATTTTCAATATATTCAAGTCCATAAAATTTATAAAATTATATGAATTATTTTATTTTGAAAGAAAATGTATAACATAACATTTATTTTAGAGTTTGCGTTATTCTTAAAAAATAAAGACGCGCCCCCCTTAAGCGCGAATCTTTTTACGGCTCATAATTAGAGGGGATCAAGGGGATTTTTTTTTAAATCAATTGAAATCAATTTCTTAAAAATAGGTAGAATTTAAATGCGATTTTAATGTTTTATTTAGCAAATGAGCAACAATGTATTTTATATTATTTAATTAATCGCGTGCGCTGTTTGGCAGATCGATTGGACTGTTTATAATATAATGTTATACCTAATTGCTCAAAATATTTTCCACTGATTGTGAGTTTTTCAATTCATGCAGAACAACTAATCTCACTTTTTTTAATAAAATCTTAATTATAATTACATATAGATTTATTGGTCTACTAACAAAAGCGTACCCCTTTCATAGAAAGATTTTTTCTGCATCGTTTATTTGGTGCGCTTAAGTAATTGTACACCCGCGCTCTGCGCCCATCTCACATACATACATTCTTTATAATTTTTTATTGCAAAATTTTGTTTTGCGTAATAAAAATTTTTTCAAAAGTAGCTATTTTTAACATAAAAGTTTTAAAATATGAATGCAATAAACATGATTATTATTATTATTTTTATTATTATTTATTCTTCTCGGCCTGTACAAAAATTTTTAAATTGGAGAAATAAAGAGAAGACAGGGTTTACAACTTAGCAGATGTCTGCAAAAACGCCCGACATCAAAAGAGACACGGCCGCCGCGGTAAACCCATTATGATTTATTTAATACAGAACAACTAAAAAAATTAAATGTCTGTGTGTACTAATGGGTGGAATTTTTTTCACTCAAATTAATTTGCTTTTTTGAATTTTCATTTTATAAATTTTCTTTCAAAAAAGTCTTTCATAAGACGAATTTATTAATTTGTTTTAAATTAATCACATGTGTTTCCCAGGACATGATGTTGACTCGAGAGTCTTTTGATCGGTGAATTAAATTTATTACTCTGCGAGCAGCGCGTTTGCTCATGAAATAGGGTCGCAGACCATGACCGAAACTGGTAGAGCCATTTCTTTTAGAAAAAAAATAATTTTTTACAACGATGACAAGCCGGAATTCTTCATTTCCCGATCATCTCCTTGAGTGTAAATTTTCAATTTCTTCAATTAAATTTATTTGTTTAGTTTTTCTCAATATTTATTAATGTATCAAATATTAAAATAACAATATATTTAATAAATTTGAATAAGATCAATTAGTAAGAACATATAAAATTGAATTATAAAAAAAACCATTAACAGAAGGGGTCACCTTTTTTGACATGTGAGCGAGAGCGCGAGCGCAAAACCGGCTGCTTGCTTGAACCTTAAAAATGTATTTTTTTTTTTTAAATCTTAAGTTTGTTAAAATTTTGCAATCGGTTTTCTTCCCTTTATCTGAATAAGTATTTTTGTAATGCTAAAATAGTCCTAATATTTGTCTCCACTTGAATAATTAAAGTTGAGAAATAAGGTATATTTATTTATATTATAAACAGTCAAATTGATCTGCAAAACAGTGCACGCGATTAATAAAATAATATAAAATATAGCTCATTTGCTTAATAAAACATTAAAATCGCATTTGAATTCTACCAATTTTTAAGAAATTGATTTAAATTGATTTCATTAAAGAAAAAAATCCCCTTGATCCCCTCTAATTATGAGCCGTACCACAATTTGCTCCCACAATGTGGTACCACAACTTGCACCCACACTGTGGTACCACAATTTGCGCCCACACTGTGGTACCACAAATTGCTCCCACACTGTGGTACCACAATTTGCGCCCACACTGTGGTACCACAATTTGCGCCCACACTGTGGTACCACAATTTGCGCCCACACTGTGGTACCACAATTTGCGCCCACACTGTGGTACCAAAATTTGCTCCCACACTGTGGTACCAAAATTTGCTCCCACACTGTGGTACCACAATTTGCTCCCACACTGTGGTATCACAATTTGCTCCCACACTGTGGTACCACAATTTGCGCCCACACTGTGGTACCACAATTTGCTCCCACACTGTGGTACCACAATTTGCGCCCACACTGTGGTACCACAATTTGCCCCCCACAGTGGTACCACAATTTGCTCCCACACTGTGGTACCACAATTTGCCCCCCACAGTGGTACCACAATTTGCTCCCACACTGTGGTACCACAATTTCCGCCCACACTGTAATACAACAATTTGCGCCCACACTGTGGTACCACAATTTCCGCCCACACTGTGGTACCACAATTTGCTCCCACACTGTGGTACCACAATTTCCGCCCACACTGTGGTACCACAATTTGCCCCCCACAGTGGTACCACAATTTCCGCCCACACTGTGGTACCACAATTTGCTCCCACACTGCGGTACCATAATTTGCGCCCACACTGTGGTACCACAATTTGCTCCCACACTGTGGTACCACAATTTCCGCCCACACTGTGGTACCACAATTTCTGCCAACACTGTGGTACCACAATTGGCGCCCACACTGTGGTACCACAATTTGCTCCCACACTGTGGTACCACAATTTGCTCCCACACTGTGGTACCACAATTTGCCCCCCACAGTGGTACCACAATTTCCGCCCACACTGTGGTACCACATTTTGCTCCCACACTGTGGTACCACAATTTGCTCCCACATTGTGGTACCACAATTTCCGCCCACACTGTGGTACCACAATTTCTGCCCACACTGTGGTACCACAATTTGCTCCCACACTGTGGTACCACATTTTCCGCCCACACTGTGGTACCACAATTTGCTCCCGCACTGTGGTACCACAATTTCCACCCACACTGTGGTACCACAATTTCCGCCCACACTGTGGTACCACAATTTGCTCCCACACTGTGGTACCACAATTTCCGCCCACACTGTGGTACCACAATTTCCGCCCACACTGTGGTACCACAATTTCCGCCCACACTGTGGTACCACAATTTCCGCCCACACTGTGGTACCACAATTTCCGCCCACACTGTGGTACCACAATTTGCGCCCACACTGTGGTACCACAATTTGCGCCCACACTGTGGTACCACAATTTGCGCCCACACTGTGGTACCACAATTTGCGCCCACACTGTGGTACCACAATTTGCTCCCACACTGTGGTACCACAATTTGCGCCCACACTGTGGTACCACAATTTGCGCCCACACTGTGGTACCACAATTTGCTCCCACACTGTGGTACCACAATTTGCGCCCACACTGTGGTACCACAATTTCCGCCCACACTGTGGTACCACAATTTGCTCCCACACTGTGGTACCACAATTTCCGCCCACACTGTGGTACCACAATTCGCGCTCACACTGTGGTACCACAATTTGCGCCCACACTGTGGTACCACAATTCCCGCCCACACTGTGGTACCACAATTCCCGCCCACACTGTGGTACCACAATTCGCGCCCACACTGTGGTACCACAATTTGCGCTCACACTGTGGTACCACAATTTGCTCGCACACTGTGGTACCACAATTTGCTCGCACACTGTGGTACCACAATTTGCTCCCACACTGTGGTACTTTTGACTCAACGCCTTATTGAAATAATTTTTTATACATTTTATTGACTTGAGTATATTAAAAATCATTTGAAAATTACTGTAAGCGCATAATATTTGCAATAATTAAATTAAATAGATATAAATATATATAAATATAAATATGGCTCAATTATTAAAATTGACAACGAAATAGAAATGGATATGGAATGGCAGCGAAATAGAAGTCGTTAACGAAAAAGGCGACGAAATGGAATGGTTAAGCAAATGGAAAATGAAATAGAAATGGAAATGGGTAAGCAAATGGAAAATGAAATAGAAATGGAAATGGGACGATTCTATCTTACAGAATTAGACCCCTGGTCTAAAAATAATATAATTTATTTGAAGATATTTGATATTTTAAAATATAAATTTTATTATTATATTTTTATATTATTATTAAGTTAATTATGATTATAATTTTAAACAATTTGAAATTGTATATGAATAATTAACGGACAAATTATTGAATATAAATTTAAAATTTATTTTCTATTTAAATTATAAAGAGCTCAAATCAGTATTATTTAAAAAATTAATAAATTTTCATCTAGTGGTTTGATTGAGGCTTAATTATGTTTGATGCTAAATGAATAAATAGGCTATAAATTACGACCATTGAGTCAAAGAAACATTGTGTCATTTCTCAAGGGAGCACATTGCGCCAGTCTTGAGCGTTGCGGCGACCGCAACCCTAGTGGCGAGCAGCGGAGAGGACAGCACGGTAATCGTGGCGCAAATTACCACCGGAGAGGTCAAAGGGAGGATCGATCACCACCGAGGGCCGGTCACTAGCTTAGCCATTACAAGCTCAGGGGACGTTCTCATATCAGGTAAAGGGAAATTCAATTTGCCAAGTCAATATATATTGCTCCCTTAAGCGTCCGCATAATATAATGGAATAAAGACGGAGGAACCCTTTTGGTTTTAAGTAGTCGCGATTGCTTTTTGTTCTGTACTCCTCAATTTAATTCATTTTTTTGGGAATTTCAGTAATCTGTGATGTGCCAGATTAACTTCAAAGTAGTATTTCAATGACAATAAATGTTTATAATGTCCTACTTTTTACACAAAAATAAAACTGATCATTAATGGGAAAAAGTCTAGAAAATCGTGAATAAAATTATTTTTAATGATCAATTAAAAAAACCTTGCAACAATAAAAATGAATGATTTCCGTATCCTTTGCCAGCTTTATGCATTTCAAATAATGGTATATAGAAGACGATCCAATTCAGAGTTAATGGTCGTTCCGAGATTTGAAAACAGACTCCTTTCTTTTTCTTTATTCGAGTTGAGAATCGAGGCTGGATCGCAATTCAAAGAAAGGAGTCTCCCGAGTGAGATTTCGCCGCGCAAGAGACGTATTGATTCCGACCAAGCCCCATCAAATGACTAGTTTTTGTTCGTTTTGCTTTGCCGCAGGCTCGACAGATTCAACAATTTGTTTATGGTCCCTGGACGACCTGACGCTGTTGAACAGCGTGTCGTTGGCGTCGCCCGTCAAGATGATCTCGGTGTCGCCCGACAGCGTGTTCCTGCTGGCCGCGTGCGACAACAACCAACTTTATTTGCACGCGCTCGCAACAGGCTCCGAGGTGCACTGCCTGCGAGGCCACAAGGCCGACGTAAGTGCAGCAGCTCTGATTACCCTTGCTCTAATTAATACAGGGGCAAACTTACAGGTCCAGTCCATTAGCGTGGCGCGCGACAACTGCCGCGCCATCGTCGGTGGCAGTGACGGAAGGGTCTACACGTTTGACATGAAGAGCGGCCGCCTCATCAGAATTCTGGCCGGACACGGCTCGGCTGTCACGTCACTTTGTACCTCAAAGGACGACAATTTTCTCATTAGTGCTGGTGAGCTTATCTTTCTTGTTTTTATTTTGCTCCGTTACAAATGCAAAGGGCCTGACATTGTACAAACCATCAAGATAAGTGTTGTTTTAAATTGCAAAATTGTGGTTTCACATTGGATTTAACTCAAATTGCCAAAAAAATGACCTATCTTGATTTTCACATGATATGTTGTTGGGCTAGGTGAGAAAATACCCTCCGTAAAATTTTACATGCAAATTTTGAGTACTTTTCCGGGAAATCAGATTTCCAAAAAAATGCGAAAAATAACAGAAAATATTGAATTTCTTTGCTTCTGCTTTGAAATTAAGTATGTAAGTAAGTCATTTATGTTTTTTTTTTTTTTTTTTTTCATAATTTACAAATTCATACCCGATTTTTTCCTTATTTATTTTGCTCCAACTTGGAGCCGTGCGCGAACTGCTATTTTGGTCTGCCTCTCTTGCCACGTTCGCAGCAAGTATAAATTCGGATCGATTTCCGTATCACGCCACAACGGTGGGTCTATTTGTCAACAGGCGGAAACAAAATCACATTTTGGAGCTTCCGGCCCGAAGACGAGTGTCACACGGAAGGCGCCGTCAGCCCAAAAGCAAAAAAGCAGCAACACTCGGCCGCGATCACGTGCGCCGCGATCTCGCGGGACGGCGTCCTGGCCGTCACCGGCTCCCAGGACTGCAGCGTCAACGTGTGGCAATTGCACTCGCACGATTTGCAGTGCACCCTCCTGGGACACTCGGCGCCCATCACGTGCGTCGCCTTTTCGCCCAACGGACTTTTCGCCGTTTCGGGCGCAGAGGACCACACGGCGCGCGTCTGGGGACTCACGCTCAGCGTCGTTGTTTGCTGTTTTGTGGTAAGAAGTTAAAAAATAATTCATAAATTAAATTAAAGTTGAAAAACAAATAACTAATGTCTTTATTAGTTTTTAATAATAATAAAAATTAAACAAATTAATATTTGTTTTTCTATAATTTAATTTAATTTTTTTAAATTGTTCTAGTGATTGGATATAAAAATTTCTTAAAAAAAAATGGCATAGTTTACTAATACAAAATCTTTTGAATTTTTATTGAAATAATAATAATTTTTATTGCTTTATTCTTAAAAACTTTCAATTTTTGACAGGGCCATCAAGGAACAATATCTGACATGGCAGTCACAAGTGACAGCAGACGAGTGGTTTCCAGTGACCGCCACGGCCTGATGTACGTTTGGCTTGCCGACTCTGGACAAGTGATGCAGAAATTCTCTATTTTGGGACAATGGCTTTCCGTGTCGAACTCGATGAAAAACGTCGTTTTCAGCAGCCCCGGCGAGAATTGGTAATAAATCAATGTCCCAGCCTGAATGCATTCAAATTTATTTCCGCAGCCTTCGCATTTGGACGATGGGGCGGGACGATGAGCGGTTCACAGTATCCCACAGCGAGGAGATCACCTGCTTCGCCCTCACAAACGACTCGCAACACGTCATCACTGGGTCCAAGGACATGTCGCTCAAGGTGTGGCAACTGGCCGGAGGAAAACTGGCGCAGGTTCTGGTCGGACACACCGACCACGTCACTTGCATCGCGGCCAACAAGGATTTGGTCGTGTCAGGCTCGCGGGACGCGAATCTGATAGTCTGGGACATCAAAACCGGCTCTGACCTGCACACGCTCACCTCTCACCTCAGCTACGTCACCTGCGTTCAGATTTCCGCCGATGGAACGCTGGCCGTATCAGGTATCATATTAAAAAAAAGAAATATAATTAAAAAATAATGAATAAAATAATCTATTTTTTACAATATTTAACAATGATTAAAAAAATTATAATTTATGTTATTTTTTTTTAACAATTATTACATTTTAGAGATTTACAATAAAACTTTGAAATTACAAAAACTTAGAGAAATATCTTACATCAAATTTATTCATTATATCTCTTTACCTCATTAAATACCTTATTTTTTTTTTAAATTTTCATATAAAATTAAATATCTTTTGTTCAAAATTGACGCAACCGTTTGACACTGCGGTGAAATTTCGAAAGCCTTTTATTATCCGCACAAAGGCTTTATTTCGCGACATATTCACGTTGTTCGCTTTTTAACCCGCAGCCGCGCGCGCGTCTCCCTGCGGTTCTTTCTTTCTTTAAAGCCGGCTCAAAAAGCACAATAACGTGCACTGCACAGTGTGGATCACGGCCTTTGTCCTTGCGATTTCCCTCGGCATAATCCCGGGCGTAAATTTTGCAGGCTCGGAGGACCGCAGTCTGGTGGTTTGGGACCTGATGCTGGGGCGGGCTCGCTGCACATTGTCGCTCAACTTGCCTGTGGTCGCGCTGCACATGAGTTGCGATGCGGCGCGGATCATGGTCCAGCTGCTCGACTGCTCTCGTCTGCCCATTGTCTGTCTGCACAACACGCCGGCAGCGTTCGTCCCGCCCGTCAACTACGCCCCGGTCAAAGAGCCCGAAGGTAAATTGATACTTTTGTTTTATTCAATTTGTTGATTTAAAAAAAAATAAATAATAATTTAAAAAAAAAATAAATATTTTATAAGTTAAAAATTGTGTTATATTCATTATAAATTTTTAATGTGCAAGTAGACAACACTGTCTAGTTTCATATCCTAGAATCAAAACTATCGCTTACAATTATTTTAATTAATCATTAATTGCTTTTGTTAGACTTGAGGTCGTCGGGCGGCGCGGTGCCCAAGAGGCCGATGCGGAGGCTGCTGAAAAAAGAGGTGTCGCTGGACACGTACACGTGGCAGAAGAAGTACGGTCATCTGACTTCAAAGGCCATGTTTGCGGCCATTGACGAGCGCCTCAAGAGGAGGTTCAGCGTATCAGCCAGCATGGAGGAAATACCGCAAGTGAGATGTTTACCCACACCGCACGTTGTCTGCCTTAATCTTCTTTGTTCATCCCCTTTGTCTGGCGGCTTCAAAGCCTTTTATTATCATGCAAAGAGGCCTTTGGAGAAATGACCAATTTGAGCGGAAAATTCCTCTCTCCGTCATGCTCGGCCGGCAAATATTTACGCTGGGAAAATTTCCAGCTGTAAATTAATATTTATAAAGGCGCCTTTTGTGTCACACCCGGCTCATTTTCAAGATAAAAAAGAGCGGCAAAATCCCTTTGAAATCTTAATTAAATTTGTTGGAGAGCGTTAATCTCAAATTGAGGTTTCCTTTATCCTCTTTCCACATTTTTTTGTTTACTTTTAATCAGCGTGTAATTTTTTAAAGCACACATACATACTTAAAAAAACTTATATAAATTGAAGGCTCCTAGCATTCTGAATCTCTGATTTTTTTTTACATATAAAGAAAATTAATTTTGACTGCATCTATCCCTATTTCTCAGACCGTTGGGCCCGAGCAAGCCGCCTTGGCACAATCACAACACTTTGAAGACCTGGAAGCTCTGTGGAATAAAAAATCTCCACCGCGCAGACGACAGATGGTGAAGCAGAATTCATTGATCAGCCGAAGAGAGTCCTCAGATGGAGGCATGTCCGACGAGAAAGAGTAAATTCCGTTAGACTAGAGATTAAAATAAACAGAGGCACCCTTACCGTATCAAAGTTTAATCAGAACAGCCTAATGGAGAACAATGGCTCAGCTAGCGTTAGAGTTAAAACACATAGCTGTACTTTAAACACAGAAAAAAATAATAAGTGTGTCTTCCCTTGATTTAGTCGCATGAAAAGTTTCTGGTGTACGCGTGTTGTACTGTTGGAGCGACCTGTTGTGACAAAAAATTAATATCCAGCATAAACATCTTGATTAATTTATAATTTTTTAAACAAGTTATGAAAGCAGTATCAAGGCTAAAATTGAAGCTATAGTCTGTGATTTACTTGAAAAGAATTAACATGCACAACTTTCGCACTTCTCTTGCCAAAGCACGAACTTTTCTACTCAAAATATGAACCAGCGCGCTGACAAATTCTTAAGAGGGAAATACTTGTAGGGACCGCTCCACTTGGTTCTTCTACTCACTCACTCACTCACACACTGCAACTGTAACAATCATTTTGTACTTGACCGTCCTTCCTGTTTGTTGTTCCTCGATGTCTTTGTATACTGCGCCGGAAACGAATTGTTGAGAAAATTAATCATCCTATAAAAGCACGCATGCAAAATAACGCTTCTACCCTCACTCTTTCTTCCATATTGCTGTAGAGGTAGAAAGTTGTTGTTGTTGGATGTGCAACTAAATGTTGAAGCTATGTAATGAAATATATCTCTTTGATGCAAATTTTGAAACATCCCGTCGCGACGTCCTTTGAAAAGTGAAACGGCCGGCGGATGTTTATGCATTGTTAAAAAAGGAAAAGCCTGCTATTCTAAGGAACAAAATAATGGAGAAGGAAAATCACGCGCTATTTTTGTTTCCCATTGTTGTGAGAAATTTCAAACAAGACTGCCAAAACCATTCCTCTCTTTTCTTATATATCGGCGACGATGTTAGAGGTTAAGAGAATAAAAAGTAACAAAACGACCTTCGGGGTGAGTCAAGAAAATAAATGTAATAACGAAAACATCTCCCTGCAGGGAAAGAAGGAGATGAAAGAAATAGAAAATTCTTATACAAACATAATATTATAATAGCATAATATTATATAATATATTTATGTGACATCCCCGTGGGTCAAAAAATACATAGATGTGCGTAACTTGAATGTTAAACGATTAAAGTTATTTACAAACGCAATAAATGTGTTCCTTGCAAACCTGACCCACCCGTTTTTCATTTCACTTTTCTCCCTTTCTATTTTACTACTATTTTTTGTGTGCTTCTAATTAGATTTGGTATCTCGAACTCTTGGAGATCAATGTCAGAAAAGAACAGTAAGTAGCGAAATAAATTGGATTCAACAGCAGATTAACATGGCAGCTTATTGCGAAATGAGGCAGCACACTCTTTACGAGCCGAAGTCGTAGAAAGCCTAGTGTATAGATTTGGCGTGGGAAAGCAATCTGGAGCAATTGTCACACAACACACGTCTTGAGATTAAGTGACACTTACGCGTGCACCGAACAAATGTGTGTCGGAAAAAGTCGTACAGTTTGCGCCCTACATTAGGAAAAGTTCAAGCGATTCCAAAAGAATATACAAAATTAAACAAAATTTGCTCTGAAATAAACAATTTATTATTATTTTTTCCTTCTTCAAAAGAGCCTTTAAAGTATTTAAGCCAATAAATATGATATGAAGTAAAATAGTAAATTTATTTATTAACTTTTTGTTTTGTTTAATTCTTTTATTTTTAAATTAGCTTCTTGAGCTACTCGTACGCTGTAGAAAACAGCACGAGGTTTTATTTTCAACACTATTTTTAACGTGTAAGCAAAAGCGTGTATGGATTAACAACTCCTGAGCAGAATAGAAATCAATTAATCATCAATTGCTACGCTAAAATTGACACGATTCAGATTGGGATCACGCAGTGTCTCGGTCCATTTCTTGCTTTTTATTTTTATAGAAAGGAACATATTTCTGCTCATTCAACGTGACCAGCACAGAGGCCTCTGCGATGAAATATCATTAAAGGCGCTAAGAAGCCTCTCAATATTATCTCAAATAGAGTGTCGCCGCGGAGTAAATCTGCAGTGTCTTTTTCACCTACGTCCGAGCAGGGTCTCCGGTTCCAATCTTTGGATGAGAGAAAATTTTTAAATCGAGAGAAAGGGGTTTACTTTGAAAAAATCCACAATGGCTGGCAAGATTGAGCTGAAATTTGTGAAAATTTTCAATTCTTTTTTTTAAATACTTAGGGACGACCGAGTCTCAAGAAAACCTGGTTGAGAAAGGTGACCACCGGCAGTCAGTATGGTCACTGAATTTGCCACAGGACATTATTTTGTCCAACGTGGAGAAGCAGTTTCTATTATGCGTGGAAAGAGGAGATTGCGCCTCTGTTCGCAAGTAAGTTAATTTTTCGGAACTTTTTCTAATATATCGTCACAGTTATACAATGTCAAAAAATACTTTCATTTTTGATGATAAACTTTGTGATAGATCAATAAATACAATTTGCAATTAAACGGATCGAAAGGGAATAAAAATAAAAGTATTTACCAATTAAATATTTATTTATTATTTTGATGTCATTTTTATATTAGTTAAAACTATTTATAATTTTAAAATGTTCATATATTTTTTTTTTACAAAATTTACCTAAAAGCTTATTATTATCAAAACGAATTTGAATTTTTTATTTTCTTCGATGTTATTAAGGTCTTGCAAAAACTTTTTTTTAAAAATCCTATCATTTAAAGTAGCTAGAAAAACAGCATTAGAGATTAGAAATAAAAAAAATGAATAATACTTGATGGAAATTAATACTACATAATTAAGTATTTTTCAGCCAGATTTAAAAATTTGCGCTTTTATTAATTTGGATTAAATAAATTAAGTACTAATTTATTTTGTAATTGATTTAACTCTGCAGAATGATAGAAGAAAACGAGAGCAACAACGACTTTGACGTAAATTGCATGGACCCTTTGAATCGCTCAGCTTTAGTCTCGGCAATCGAGAACGAAAACATCGACCTTATCCACATTCTGCTGGAGAAGGGCATCAAAGTCAAGGTAAAAAAGCAAACAAAGAAAAGGCAGTGACAAAGAAAAACACACGCAGGACGCCCTGTTGCACGCGATTAAAGAAGAGTACGTGGAGGCGGTGGAGGTTCTTTTGCAGTGGGAGGAGGAGCACCACAAGCCTGGAGACCTTTACGTAAATTAATTTGATTGCTTGGCTCGCTTGCGTCGAATAAAAGAGGGCATTTCAGAGCTGGGAGGCGATGGACCGGTCGCAGTCCACGTTCACCCCAGACATCACGCCGCTCATGCTGGCGGCGCACTACAACAATTACGAGATCATCAAAATTCTGCTGGACCGCGGGGCGACGCTGCCCACGCCCCACGACGTGAGGTACAATTAGTCATGTCGGCGCGGTGAAAAAGCGGTGCAATTAATTTTTGCGACAGATGCGGATGCGACGACTGCGTGATTTCGAGCGAGCAGGACTCGCTGAGGCACTCGCAGGCGCGCATTAACGCGTACAAAGCCCTAACGAGCCCCTCGTTGATTGCCCTGTCGTCGAGGGACCCATTGTTGACCGCGTTCGAGCTGTCCAACGAGCTCGCCCGTCTCAGGAAGATGGAAAACGAATTCAGGGAGGAATACAATGTAGGCAGGATTTAAAATCCGTCCGCAGTGCCGAGGGCATAAATCATTCCGCGCGCTCTGACTGATTGCGGGCGAGTGGCTTCATAACTGAAATTTATGTGATATGCAACCGGCGCGCCTCGGCCGTCGCGCTAGTTGCATAGTCGTGTTACCCGCTTCATTTTTCACGCTTTGTTCTCTCGGCACCGCACGCTTTGAATGCATGAATTTTAAAATTTCTTTTTGTGTGCGCCTCCACGCGGTGGAGGAAGGCGGAAAATGCTGTCGAGATAATGTGATAGCAGCGCAGTTTATCAAAAAACAGTCTCGCAGATTTTGAATAATTTAAAATAATATTTTAATATTTTTTATAAATTTTTTTTTCTCAAAATTTAACTAGTAAAATATTAATTTATATTACTTTTTTATTCAGGAAATGCGACAAAATGTCCAAGCCTTTGCAGCTGCTCTGCTGGACCACAGCAGAACGTCTCGTGAACTGGATATTATTTTAAATCACAATCCTGAGGGTGAAGCGTGGGAACCTGGTGAAAGACGCTCTCTGGAGCGGCTAAAACTTGCAATCAAATACAGTCAAAAAAGCGTAAGAATTCAATTTTTTAAGGGAAATTTAACTTATATTTTATCTACTTTAAATATCAAGGATTAAATTAAGAGATGTGCTAATTTAATTTTGTTATGTTATTTTAACAAATTTCTAGTTCGTAGCACACCCGAACGTCCAGCAGTTGCTGGGTGCTATTTGGTACGATGGGCTGCCTGGTTTTCGACGAAAGGGCATGGTCAGGCAGTTGATTGAAGTGGCCCAGCTTGGTGCCATGTTTCCCGTTTACTGTTCGATTTACATGATGTCGCCAAACTCGGAAAAGGGTCAATTCTTGACGAAGCCTTTTGTGAAATTCATCTGCCACTCATCCTCCTACGCCTTCTTCCTCAGTGAGTTCAGACAAAGACACTTTTTCAATAAAAGAGACACGCAAACAATGGCGGCAAATAACTTGGTCCATTTGATCTCGGCAGCGCTGCTTTGTGCCGCTTCCCAGAGGATCGAGTTTCTGCTATTGGAGTGGTTCGGCAATGATTGGATGCAATCAATCCTCGCCGAGTGGAAGCGAAAGGAGCGCGGCTCCCTGCCTGGCTTAGTGGAGAGCGGATGCATGCTCTACGTCATGGGTAAATAGATCAGAGCGAGTATCGCTCGGCGGCGACACATTTGTTTTAACTTAACCTATCTCCGCGTGATTGCCCCACAGGAAATGTTTTCGCCGAGGTGCGTTCGTTATGGTGTGATGGGCTGCTTGATTACATCTCCGATTTGTGGAACTTTGTCGATCTCTTCAGCAATACATTTTACCTGACGTGGATGGGACTCAGATTCACTGCCGTTTTTGTCACTTGGGTGAGGCAGAATTATTATCATGCAAATATTTTTTATAAATTTTATATGATGTTAAGAAATTTAAATGAGAAAATCTAAAAAAGACATCGCAAAATATTAAAAATTCTTATTTTGCGTGAAAATATTCCCTTTTCAGCAATAAATAAATCTCAAACATCAAAATTTTAAAGCGGTTTAAAATTAATTAACATTACTTGCAAATTTAATCAGCAAACATCTCTTAAGTCAATTTAATCATTGCACCATTCCAACGTTTTAATGCAAATGAAAACGGCCATTTAGAGAGAATACTGGGACGGTTGGGATCCGTGGTACCCACGCGAAGAATGGCACCCTTTCGACCCGATGCTATTATCCGAGGGAATGTTCTCCGCTGCCATGATATTCAGGTAAACACCATTAAGCGATAGAATCATTAACTTTAATGAAACGAGTGCACGGCACGCCACTGTGTAGCTTCCTCAAGCTGGTGCACATATTCAGCGTGAACCCTCATTTGGGCCCGCTGCAAATCTCGCTTGGCAGAATGGTTATAGACATCATTAAGTTCTTCTTCATTTACATGCTCGTTCTGTTCGCCTTTGGATGCGGTAATAACAAATAATGATTTCATTAAAATTCCGAGACTGATTGACGTAAATAAAGGAATGAATCAACTGCTGTGGTATTACTCCGACCTCGATAAGCAGAAGTGCTACGCAAGGGATCCAGAAGTGTCCGACTGGGAAAATGAGGATAAGGCGTGCAGCACGTGGAGAAGATTTGCAAAGTTTTAAAAATAAAAGTTAAGTTTGCAAAAAATATAATTTTAAATTTCAGTATGTTCGAAACGTCTCAAACGCTTTTCTGGGCTGGTTTTGGATTGGTCGACTTGGTTGCCTTTGAACTAACGGGAATGAAAAGTTTCACACGTTTCTGGTCCCTTCTGATGTTCGGTTCTTACTCTGTGATAAATATCATTGTGCTGCTTAACATGCTCATTGCCATGATGTCCAACTCTTTCCAAATTATCTCTGTAAGAATTTGAAGTTAAAATTCTAGAAATGGTGTAAAAGTTGAAATCAGGAACGATCCGACGTGGAATGGAAATTCGCCAGAAGCAGACTTTGGATGAGCTATTTTGAGGACGGAGACATTCTGCCGTCGCCTTTCAATATGATGCCTAGTTTAGGAATGCTGAAAGATATTTTTGGCATTGGGGCGAAAATCAAGTCAAAATCAATCAAGGTATCTTAGATTTTCTTTAAATATTGAATCGATTAAAAATTTTGATTGTAGAAAAAATCGCAAGAAAAGGCGCAAGAGCGTCATGACATCGTGGTTCAGTTGCTGGTAAAACGTTACGTTGTGGCCGAGCAACAAAAGACATCTGACTTTGGAATCACCGAAGACGACGTGATGGAAATCAGACAGGACATCTCTACATTACGGTACGAGCTGGTCGATATTTTGCGCACCAACGGCATGAACACACCAAATCTGGACCCTAATGACAGCTCCAGTAAGTTTTTGCCTGACTCGCTTTGAATGAATCAAGTTGATATGTCTGCGTAATTAGTTGCTGGCAAGAAGGGAAAACAAAAGGAGAGGCGTTTGCTGAAAGATTTCCAGATAGGGTTCGTGGAGGGAGTGATTAATGAGGCGCTCACCGTGGAGAAGGCCCCGAAAGACATATTCGGCAAAATCGCCAAGGCCATTGGCAAACGTGGCGGAACTCAAAAGAGCACCTCATCCAGCAAGAAAGACAAGGACTGGAACAGCAAAGTGCGCCAAAGCATGATGAGGAGGAACCCAATCGGCAGCACTGCTGAACTTAAAGACCGTTTCAACTCTAAGCAGAGTTTGCGTCGATACATCTTGGAGCATGGAAGTGAAACCATGCACCAGATGGACGTCGGCAGATTGGCCGAGCTGAATCCTATACTGGAAACCGTGTCACCGGCCACCAGAGTGGCTTACGCGAAGTTCAAGATGCGCAAGATTAAATTCGAAGAGGTGGGATAAAAATTTAGTAAAATATGAAATTTAAATACATTTTCCTTCTCAGCAATTGAAGTTGCCAGAGGTGGGAGAAGTGGATGAAAAGGAGACGAAAAATACTGAAGCCCCGAAACCTGCCATGTCTTTGAAAAAGGCAGCAGCCTCATCGATAAAAGTTAATAAAAAATAAAAATAAAATAAAAATTAAACAAATTAATTTCAGAAGGAGCCAGCAGAGAAGCAAAGCGCGGCAGCCCCAACTATGGTGGCTACTGAAGCGAAAATTGAGACCCCGGCAAAGCCAGAGTCTCCGAAATCTGTAAAAGACAAACCAGCGCCGCCGCCACCTGCAGAAACACCCAAGGTTCCGGAACCAAAGGAGGCTCCCAAACCACCAGCACCAAAACCTGCTGAACCAAAGCCCGCAGAGCCAAAGCCGGAGCCAAAACCAATCCCATCTGGCAAATCAAAAGTTTCAGGCAAAGTCCTTGATGGATGGCTTTAAGGTGATTCTTCTACGGGGTTTTGGCCAAAACTAGAAATGCTGCAATGGATTTCAAATGATTCAGATTATAAAAGTTGAACTATTGTGTGTTAATGTTTCAAGTATAAAAATGATTTAGTTTCGCCCCATCGCTTCTTTACAAGGGGCCAAAGTAATGTCCGAAGGTCGAAAACGGGTAAAAATCCACGTTTTTCTACCTTCTTATGCTCGTAACTTTCCATTTTGCAAAGTGAACTATAATTTTCTAGATAGCTTTCGATTCGCAAGATGTTAAAGTATCCAAAAAAAGCAAAAAAAATATAACTCTTCTGTCATTTTATCGCCCTCAAAGAAATAGCATTTATAAATGGGCCATTAAAATTAAAAAAATTTGATTTCTCAGGAGGTGATAAAATGACAGAAGAGTTATAATTTTTTTGATTTTTTTGGATACTTTAACATCTTGCGAATCGAAAGCTATCTAGAAAATTATAGTTCACTTTGCAAAATGGAAAGTTACGAGCATAAGAAGGTAGAAAAACATGGATTTTTACCCGTTTTCGACCTTCGGACATTACTTTGGCCCCTTGTAAAGAAGCGATGGGGCGAAAATAAATCATTTTTATACGTGATACATTAACACGCAATAGTTCAACTTTTATAATCTGAATCATTTGAAATCCAGTGCAGCATTTCTAGTTTTGGCCAAAACCCCGTAGAAGAATCACCTTAATTTTAGAATTTTTTTTAACTTTTCGTTTTGTTGAATTTGATATTTTACTTCACAACTAAGCAACACCACGATTCCGTCTGCCTTACTTAAATAATATTTATGCAATTAAATAAAGGCCGTGATAAGAAAGTAAATAATGGTTTTGCAGTTTGAGCACAAAGCATTGAGTTATATTCATGACTATCATCACACAACATCCAAACACTAAAATATTTTAGTCTTAGCGAAAGGGTACATCGAATCAGAATTGATATGGTCTTGCTTTTCAAGTCCCGTTTCATGAGACATTTCACAAACACAGAGATTTTTGCATGGCAGTTTTTTTGCAACTAGAATCACAGAAGCGCGATAACCACAACAAAAAGCTGCTAAGCTGCACACCCTTCCTATAGTTTACGTGTTAGTAGGGTGCACCCACCCTTGTCACCCGGCGGCCAGTTTCGAATGAAGAAGTTTTTCACTCGAGGAGAGGCGCCAGCTGACCACAGTGTCACGCGTGGCCTTGAACAGGGTGTAGTAGTTTGTGAACAGCATCAATGTGAGGGACAAGGCGCGCCACCACTCGGAGCCCATGTGGGCCAGCAATCCCAGTTGAATGAACACCAGCAGCCCTTGCAGTAAAAGCAGGGTGCCATAGAGGAGGCCCGGGTTGTGGAAAACGGCCTGATCATTTTAGCTTGAGACTTTGAAATTCGAACTTAAAGGTACTCACATAAAACCGGAGGTGGGCGAGATTGGCTGGCTCGGCACACACAGTCTGCACACCCTCTGCTCTGTAAATTTCTCTCGAGTACTTCACCAATGATCCACTCGGCCAAACTGTTCCTTCGTGCCATCTGATAAAAAAAATTTAAAATAAATTATTTGAGTTATTGATATTGATTCTAATTAAGCATACATGTGCGTTGGCAAATGAGATCTGCAACCCTCCAACTTTGACCACTTTCCTAGGTGAAGAGCAGATCGATGCAACACATCCACATACCTAATACAGTTAGAATTGATTTTCAAAAAGAAATAATAATACTAAGTTTTAAAATTCAAAATTTTTGACAAATAAAACATTTTTAACATAGAAAAATAAATTCAAAATTTTAAGAAAACAGAAAACCTACTGCACAGGGAAGGTTTGTGCTGCAGCCATGGTAAAGCACCCAAGCCATACAAAGAGCAGGTGCTGTGTAGCCCAAACGAGATCGTAAGCCAACGAGCTCTGCAAATAATATTTTCAATTGAAATATCAGCCGAAAAGTAAAATACTAGTACCTGAGCAAAGCAACAAGGTATGAAAGCAGCATAATATGCGCTGAGAACAGAGTTGAAGAGGATATGTCTCATTCGAGCATTGAAATCGCCTTTCAGAGCATCTGCTTCAGCCCTGACTGTGGGTGCCGTAGATGGACACGAGTGAAAAGCCTCACCTAAAATTGGACTGTCATTAATGGAATTCAGAATAATTATATCATTTTGAAAGAATTGATATTATGCAAATATTTTTGTTTGTCTGACTTGAAATATAAATAGTAATAACTCAAAATAAAATCGATTTCTTGCCTTTTAGTTGGTCAGGCCCGTGATCCGTACTGCACAGGAACGGTCCAATGCGGAATCCAAACAATATTAAATAAACTGAGGCCCTAAATTTCAGCAATCATTAATAACCGTGAAATATATTAATATAATTTCACTTACGGATATCCTAAGTAGAGAATATTTACAACTTGACTTCCGTCCAGGATGAAAATTGCACAAATCAACAACACCACAGAGAGAATACCGAGAAGAGTCCATCTAAATAAAGTTAAATCAACAAATTTAATTTTTTATTCTTATATAAATAAATTAAAAATGGTACCTCAGGGCTTTATCAGCAACCTGCTGCAGAGATGTTGGTAATAAGGTCAGTACTATGATCTTTTTGAAGAGGCAGTAAACAAACTGCCGACTGAGCATGGCCCCGATAAATGCCACCAAGTATGGGTCAACCAGATAAAAATTCTGTGAATGTAACGGTCGTCAAGTAAATAACCTTTCATAAAGAGTTAATTTCATCCTCGATTATTATAGTACCATTGCATATTTTGAATTTGACATGGGAAGCCACCAAACTGAGCGGTAGAGGTGCAGAAACTGAAGTCCGCAGGACACAGAGGAAAACATGAACATCAGACATTCGTGGAATAATTCACCATCAACTGCAATGTCCGGCATGGGGATGTGCCTTTGAGATGGGCCCATGCCATCGAGGGCAGCAAGTCTGCAGAAATATGAAAAAATTAGTAAAATTATTAAATTAATTAATTTATAATGCCTGGACTTTTCATCACACGGAAGACTTGGAGGTCGGACAGGATGACTCCGATTGGCCAAATGTTTTCTTCCACCAGCCATTTTTTTCCAACTTCTTTTAAAGCAAATGAATGCTCTGCAATGAGAATAAAAAGTGAGATGTCGTTCAATAAATTATAATATAAACAACTCATATTATTTTTATTGAAGCAGAGGAGGAATGTGGTTGTTATTATTACTTACGAAAAATTTTCAAAATCAGTTCCTTGTCTCATCCACCTCAGATGGACTGGCGGTGCTCATTTCCAAAGAAAAAATGTGTGTAAGAGAAAGCCGAATGGTCTGAGGAATTTTAATAAATTTTAACACATGAGGGTTGAAAAATCAACAAGCGCTCACCAGTGCATGTATGTAATCGATTAGGCCGGGGACGAATTTGCGCAAGGCCTTTTGGTTTTCCTTTTATTTTGCGTCGGCCTGCACGATCCGCGATCACCTGTGTTTCCTTCCACGGCTCGCCAAGGAGATACCACTCGTGCGGGCACCATTCTGCAGTGACCACCATAACCGTATTGAATTCAACACAGAACTTCATGTTTTTTATGATCCGATGTGTTCAAAAGTAATTAAAACTAGAAAATATTTTAAAATAAAATGATGCTAAAATTAATTTAGTGGAGATGTTTGCAATTCTGCCAAAAATCTAATCTTAGCAACTCATGTTATGTTGGCCAATCTGACTAAACACTGCAGTAGTTGCCGCATCCCAACAACTCCTTTATTGGCCTGTAGAAAACACTGCAGTGTTTGATTTTTAGTATTTTTTTGTGAACGTTTTTCCATAATTTATCATGTCCTGGCAGGTAATATGATTGTCTTACCGTGCAGAATCGCTTCATTAGTGAATCGAGCTTGTTCGGCCGTAAAAGGGGGCGAAATCGGCCCGCGAATTTGCTTATCTCGGATCAACTTGTTTCGTCCATGGGAGAACGCGCATGTGTGGCATACATTCGCTAGCTGTCAATGCCGCAAATGCGCTCCTTCTCGCATTAATTATTCGGCACATAAATATTGCTAACGTGTGCAATCGGAAATCGGGCTTCGGGTCGCGAGGCGCGTCGACCCGGGTGCTTTGCATGCCACCCGCGAAAATGCCAACCCGCGCCAGCCGCTCGCCCGCCCCGTCTCTCTCGCCGACATTTCATTTGCATGATAATGTTGTCTCGGTTTGCCCCTCGACCCGTTCGTTGGGCTGATTGCTTTCACCTCGGAGGGTTGCCCGCAAAGTGGCTTTTTTAACTTGTTGATCGGCGAAACTACCTCAAACGGGCCGAGCGCAATTTTTTTCCTCGAGGAAATCTCCCCTCGATAAAGACGCTCCTGCATTCATGGCAGCTGGACAGCTGCCGCGAAACCCTTTTCCCATCGCTCTTGCACACGTAGCGGCACTAATTATTTCAAGAGAAATTGCAAAACCTTTCCTTAATTACGTTGAGTATACTTCTCTGCATCTTCCGCATTATTAAATTAATGTATTTTTTTTTTTAATTGAAATTAATTTTTTTCATCCAGCATATTTTTTAAATTTAATAACTTTTTACTTGGATTTATTTATGTGATGCGGATTGAGCAATGCAATTATTTCTTTTTCTCTGAAATCCTTATCTTGCCCCTGTCGTTATTATCTGCTCCGTTTTCAGAGTAAGCAAACTTACTGATAATTTCTTTTGTTTTAGAGCCCCAGCATGGACGAAAGCAATCCACGTACATTGTAAGTTGCACAACTGAATTTGAGTCCAATTGACAAAAAAATTTATTACTTAATTCATATTCAGTGAAAAAAATATATTGTAAAAACTAAAATTTTATGATTCTGCCCAAAATTAAACAAAATTAAAGCTGGTATATTTTATATTTTAGACTATATTGCTGTGTTTATCTATGTTTAATGTAATATCTAGATTATGGTTATTTTATTTTAATAGTTTAAGCCCCCATATAATATTTAAAAGAAAAAAATTAAAGCTCTTAATTTATTAGTATTTTTTATTTATTCCTCTCACAAGGGACAATTTTTTTGCTGAAACCTCACTTTTGAATTTTTCTTGGATATAATTATGTTTGTTGGTGTAAACTGAGCTAAAACTTGTGGTTTTCTTGACAGGTACGTGGGTAACCTTGATGCCAGCGTGTCTGAGGATCTCATTTGTGCTCTCTTCTCCCAGATCGGGTCCGTCAAAGGCTGCAAGATCATCAGAGAGGTAAAGTGTAATGTTAACACTTGTTTGGCTTTAGAAAGGTAATCTAATACTTGGCGCAAAGAGAGATGCTCTCATTAACTAGCTGATTTTGCTAAGAAAAAATATCAGCATTGCACAATTCAAAAGAATTAATCTCACAAACTTAAAAAAGTTTAAGGATGAAATTGGAATATTTTGACAAGTAAATGCAGAGCAAACCAGCAAAATTAGCAAGCTATCAAATCGATCGGAGTTTAATGCCAGGCATTATTAGTTCGAAAAAACTGACAATCTTCTTCTGCTTCCCAGCCGATATGACAAAAATAATGGAGCAAACCGAAAATAAATAAAAGCCGTGGAGGCGAGGCGTTTTCTTGGAAGACTGAAGCTAAACAACAGGTGTGTATCACTTTTCTCCTTGTATTTGCATGGACAAAATCTTTCAATGGAAACCAACAATAACAAAAACAGCAAAATACCAGCTAATTTTTTAATATTTGAGGAGGGCCCTGAGATAGTCTGTGTTCCACAGTTCGTTTCTTTGTTTAGAATGCAGATTCGTTTGTAATAATTTTTTTTAATATTCTCCCTTATTCAAAAAAGGTTAATAATTACATATATTCTTGTTGTATCCCACAGATCTGAAGATCATTTTGTAAGCCGGGGAGGCAGCCTTTGAATAAATGAATGCAGCAATAACTGATTAAAATTTTTTATTCCTTTAAAATGAAAGTTAAAGTACAAAGTTATTGCTGCATTAATCAGTGTACTCCCGATCATTAATTCCAAGAAAGGTACAAAATTTTCACTTCTATTGTTGGTCCAATTTCGTGTGAGGCTAAAAAGTAAAGCTCGGATTGGATGCCGGACAAAGCTGAATGGTAAATTCCTGTTTTTTTCTTATTCACACTACTTTATTTGTCATGGCAGTCTAATAAGGTTCAGCTGGTAAGCCAATTTTGCTTATTTTTTTATATTTCTTATTTTTTTCGTCCCATACGTAAAATATGATTTTGAACTCTCACTTTGTTAGAATTACAAGGAGAAAAGTGTACATATCTGCGTCGGCTAGAATTGGCCAGCGTTTGATCAAAGAACCTGGCCCCTTCTAGCTGGCTGTGCTTTATATTCATCTTCCTTTTCAATGTCTAGGTCATTCAGTCTCGGTTTTGCTCAGGCAAAGGAGACAAGCAAAAAAGCACCCTTGATCGTATTATATAGCAAACGCACAAGTGTTTTTCTCACTAATCTTGTTTCATTTTGCTCCTGTCAAGTTTGGTTTTTTCGATAAGCGGAGTTTTTCGCCTTTGTTTGCAGCTTGAGCTGAAATTTGAATTACTTCTACTGGGTGGCTCTGAAGGTCACCTTTTCTCACTAATACATCTCTGTCTTTTTCTTTACTCTTGATCGAATCCCGAGTACAAGCGAACTCGAGGTCTGAAATAACCGAATTAAAAAAAAACCCAAAGATTATAAAAAAAATTGTAAGTACAATTTTTGATATTATCTCTGCATAAGAAATAACACACCAACGCCTATTGGTACTTTTTTACATTTAAAAAAATATATTATATAATTTGAAAATGGTTCAGACTAACACACGAGTCACACGGTAGGTGAACTTTCATTTCCTTCTAATTTTGGTGTGCAATGTATTACACTTGGTGCAGAAAAGTCGAGTGAATTAATTTAGCTGTATTTATAATAATGCTCGTTGTCAAACACACTTTTTCTGAACTTCTTTTGTGATGAGCGCTGTGTGCAAATAAATAAAGAAGACGACAAAGTTTGAACCCTGCTGTTGTCAAGAGCAGACATCCCATTCGCTCCAGCAGGAAGTCAAATATCAAGCAGTTGTTTTAATTTGAAACGCGCTGTTTTTCTTTGAAGGAATATAATCGTCGAAATTACAAGGGCCTCGGAGCATTTCTCTCCATCTCACTCGCTTTGCTCGGCAATATTGTTTTTAGTGCCGCCGCCGCCGCTCCTCAGCACTCAACGGGTCCTGGCAATTTGAAATTAAATTCCTCTTCCCCTACCTTAAAGACTAATACCCCACGGGCCTTCTTCAGACACAATGGCCCGGCCATTGCTACGCGCATTTGCACCAATGCAATTTCATTAGCATTCTAATTCGCCCCGACGATGAATCCAACTCCCAGCTCGGAAATTTGTCGGATTGGCAAAAATTGAGATTTTCTCAGCTCTCTCGCTCCCTAGGTTTCTATGCTGAAAATTTTTTTCAGACTATTTTATTCTTTTAAAGTTGAAGATATTTTAAATATTTATTGATATTCGTAATTAAGTTGTAAAAATTATTTTTCAATTTATAATACCCAAAGAGGTCTTATTTTATTTTGAAATTATTAAAAGAGTTAAACAAAATTGTCGAGTTTTTATCAATTTTTGCAATAGGAAAAAAACTAAGAAAGCAAACTAGTGTTTTAATAAACAGAAGAGTGGCTTTTTAATCAAATAGAAAATTGTAAAACAGGCTCGTTAGTTCAATTTGCAGCATTTAGAGCGAAAGTCGGAACATTCAATTAACCACCCAGTGACATAAATGTTTGATCTAAATTTCCAAACAAACCAGCATATCAAGGAGACGCTGCGGTCCACACGTGATCAGACCGCGACTCAAAACGAGAGTTTCTCCTCAAATCGCGGCGACGGCGTCACCTGCTGCTCGCAGCAAAGCCGGTGCGCCCTTTTACTCGACTAATTTCCTTTTTTGATGACCGGCGGCTAGGAAATCGAGCCGGCCCGTATCATCTACATATATTTCGGTTGTCCAGCAGGATGTTCAACAGCTCGGCACACGATTATTTACACGGCCAGCACACAATGGAGCAAGTGTGGTTGATTCGATAAATCAATACAGGCCACATATATATCGTGTGCGGTTTTTGTTAAATGGTAATTTGCAAATTGATACACTGCAGGAACGAGCGAGGTGGTGCCGCAGCAAACAAGTGTTGCGCCAAATTTCATTCCGGCCCGAATTCCCCGTGGCCTCTCTTGTTAATTAATTGCTTTCTAATTATGCGCCGGCCGGTCAGATAAAAATGTGAATTACTTGCGAGCGCCCTTTTTCTTTCTCCTTATGACAGGAAGAAACTTTTGAGTGGAAAGCAAACCTACCTGCTTGGAAAAAAATGAAATCTGCCTTCGGGGAATCACTTGACGAGCAGCAGCAGGTACATTACTCGGCGAGCTAGGTGAAGGTGAAATCCAGAGATATCCTTTCGGATCGAGGTCATATTGTCTCATCTTCCTCTTCATGATTATTAAATTTAATAGCGGACACGGAATGCTGGCCGAGCACACACGTGCATGAGTCCGCTTTTCTCTCTTTCGTTCTCGTTGTTTACGCGCCGATGGAATTTGTTTATTGATGTCATTAAACGGGCGTGTGGACAAAAATACCAACTTTTTTTCATTGCGCTGGGGCAAACACGCAATTACATGTCGAATAGCCACCCGCTCGGTTTTGTTTAGCATTTCATGTTTGCGTTTGTTTTCCTTGGAAAATATCCCAGTGCTGATGAATGAATAAATAAATGATAACATTTAAATTCGCGTTGAGTCTCGCTTTTTTTTTTAATTAAACAATGACGCTCGCTTTATTTGCCCCTCTTTCTCTCACGGTGGGGGAATAAATGTCAAAAGACCTGTGGTCCTTTTTTGTTTGCTTAGTTGTGCAATTTAATCGCACAGCGACGCAGCATAACAATGTTTTCATGATCTTTAAAATTACGTTTGT